CTGGGGGTAGGGCTGGGGCTGTGTACTGCTGGCAGTGGTAGGAGGCACTGTAGGATGTGAGGGCTCTGGGCAGTTGTGGGGTGGGGCGGGTGCTGATCGGGGGGTGTATGCAGGAGCTCCCATGCACACCCCACCATACCCACAAATCCTCCCCCACAAACCCCACATGCACCCCCCTACACACACCCACATGCCTCTGGGGAGAGCCCCACTCAATGCTATGTGCACACAACACACCACACGTGCGCACCCACAGCCTCCCACACAGACTCCACCATTGGGCCCCTAAAAATGCTCTACAGCCATGACTTAACACATGTGTACAGTTACAGAATGTTTTCAAAATGGCTGGCAATGCAAAAAATTAACCCTGGTCAAATGAAGTATTAGATTAAGGTGCTTTAAAGCAGAATGCCTTAGAAAATTTGTGTTCCTTCCAGGGTTAATGTTTTGCATGGGATCGGGGCTCAGTGGGGGAGGGTGGATTGGGGGAGCAGCAGCATGGAGTTGCCAGCAGCTTTTGAATGGCCTGAGCTGGGGAGGTGGGGTGGAATGGAGCCTCCTCACCTTGCAACCTCACCCCACCCAGCTACCATGGCTGAGGTATGGGAGCCAGGCTAAGCCCACAAGGTGAGGGGGCTCTGTTCCAGCCCACCCCCACCTCAGCTCTAGCCATTCAAAAGCAGTCCATGGCTCTGTGCTGCCACTGTCAAGAGGCCCAGGTGAAGGAAGGGAGTCCCCACTCACCTTACGGGCCTGGCCTGGCTCTCTCCAATAACCCAGCTGGGGTAGCTGGAGGGGGACCGTGAGTTGAGAGGGACTGTCTTCCCTCATCCCCCACCTGGGCCTCTTGACAGTGGCACATGGAGCTTCAGCTGCTTTTGCATAGCCAGAGATAGAAGGGTGGGGCAGGGTGGAGAGAGCCCCCTCATCTCACGGGCCCGGCCTGGCTCCACCTAATACCCCAGCCAGGGTAGCTTGGGATGGAGCCTGCAAGGCAAGGGGGTTCTGTTCCACCCCCCTCGCCAGCTCTGGCCATCCAAAAGCAGCTGGCAGCTCTACATGCTGCCACTCCTCCTCCTCTTCACTCCTCACTGACAGCCCCCAGAGCTGGGCAGTCAGGCAGGGCTGGGGAGAGGGGTGGTCCACCAGCCTCCTCAGAGGCTGCTGGAGAACCCCCACCTGCTGGGCAGGGCTGATGCAGGCAGGATCCAGCTCCACCCCAACCTAACAGGCAAACATCTGTTGTGGGGTGGGGCAGTGCTCTAACCCATGGCACTTTATGTAAAGCACCATGCATCAGAGCGGGTCCCTGAATGTCTGTAGGCATCTTAAGTAATTCCGACTATTGTTGTGGGTTCCATGTTTCTCCCCTGTTATTTGTGACCCACCCAAGTAGATATACACCTAACTGCTTGCCAACTATTTCATGAAGTACTGTCATGAAGATATTTTTTGAGAATACTTGTTTCATTAAATAGTTTTCTAAATTACGTTTTTCAGAAGAGATGAAAAACCCTAGCAGAAATATCCCTTTGACTGTGATGACAGCACTTCCTGCAGTAACTGTTTTTTACTTACTGGTAAATATCTCATACCTGACCGTTCTCACACCAAAGGAAATTGTCTCCTCAGGTAGGACAATTGGTTTGTTTGGATGATGCTTTAAAAGGAGTAGTAATCATTACCATTATTTATCTTTGGCCCCTCTCAAGTGGTCACTTGGGTCCATGAGAGACTTGTGCCTCCTGAGGCTGGGGGGGCACCAGTAGGGCATGACCAAGGGGGTTCCCCAGTGGCCAGCTGGCAACCGGGGGGGGG